GGAGTGTGAGCCCGGTCCTGAGCCACTCTGGTTGGGTGGCATGGGATGTATGGGCTCTGTACTGAGCCGTGGTGGTTGTACCCACTGCGGGAGGGATCCCAGCCACGCTGCACGGATGGTGTGGGATGAGTGGGCTCCATAAAGGAGCACACTGGCTGTGGGGTGCAGGAGACACTGTGTGGACTCCACTCCACGCACACGATGAGGGATAAAAGGGCTCTACACCGTGCAGGAGGGTCGCGGTGCAGGACGTGCTCCATCCTGTGCCCCGGGATGTGCAGGGCAGGGCGTGTGGGCTCGCTCTCACACACGTGCCGCGGGATGTATGGGCTCTGTACGGTGCGAGGTGGCCCAGGGATGGATTCAGCAGGTCCGAATGACCTCGCTGGAAGGTGCCCCAGCACTCCGAGGGTCCCCAGCCCCTCAGCCCGGCCTCGGGGCGCTGCGGGGCAGTGCGGGGGGCAGCGGGTGGAGCGGGGCGGGGGCCGACAGCGGGTGCCGGGCGTTATCAGCGGGGCGCAGCCCGGTGCACCGGGCTGATGCAAGAGCAGCCGGCGGGTCTGGAGGGGCCGGGGGGCCCCGGGACAGGCCGGGCTGGAGGGGCCGGGGGCCGCCAGCCCCGGGGCCAGGCGGGGCAGGAAGGAGGAGGCCGGGTCCGGAGCCGGCCGTCGATCCCGTGGCCCCGCCGCGGCTCCTGCGCCCCACCGGGGATCCCGCGGCCCCACCGGGGATCCCGTGGACCCCCGCGGGGTGTCCGGGACCCCATCCCGGCTCCCGCCGGCCCCCGGGCAGGGAGCGAGCTGCTGCATCACCCCGGTGAGATCTGGGGGGGCTGGTTCCCCCCGAAGCTCCCCATGCCCTGACCTTGCCCCTGAGCCCCCATGAGGGGTCCTCTGGGCCGGGGTGGCGGGGGACACGATGAGGTCATTGGTCCTTCCAAAGTGGGGGGGACGCCACGGGGGAGGTTGGAACGGGGGGTCTGGGAGTCTCGGGGCAGGACACCCCCCTCCTGGGCTGGGGGACAAGCGCGAGGTTATGGGGTGGGGGGGTTTAAGGGGAGTGGGGGGATCTGGACCCCCGGGTCTCTCCGGGGCTGCCCAGGGGGGGCAAAGGGGGGGGTGCAGTGCGAGGATAGGGCGCCCCCTGGCGGTTGTCCCCCGACACAGCTCTGGGGCAGCTGCGGGAGGGGAGTGGGGGGCACAGCCCGGGGGGGGGTGGGCAAAGTAGGGGCCAGGAGGGTGAAAGGGAGTGTAAGAACTGGGTGCTGAAGAGTATTTGGGTGCTGATGGGGGGGCAACGGCAAGGGCCTCCCCAGCTGTGCACCCTGGGGGGCTCTGGGGCGCTTACGCTGTCCTGTTTTGGAGTGTCCCGTGAGCCCAGCTGTGCCTCAGTTTCCCCTTTCTCAGCCCCGCGCTGTCCCACGGGGCCTGGGGGGGGTGGGGTTGCAGGGGGACCTGGGTACTGTGTGTGGGACCCCAGCCCCCGTGTGTGGGTCTATACGGGACCCCCACCCACTTGTGAGAGGTCATGCGGGACCCCAGTCCCGGGGTGTGGGTCTGTACAGGACCTGACCCCCGGGCACAGGGCATGGTGTGCATGGGCATGGGTGGGCCAGGGCGGGATGCCACGTCCCTGGTGGGAAGCTGCCGGGGCTCTGCCGTCGCCTGACGTCGGTTCCCATCCCGGATGGAGACAGGGCAGGGCATGACTTCCCCGGGGGACCCCCCAACCCCGGACCTCCCAGCCCGTGGGGAGCAGTTTAGGCAGAGAGGGGCTGCGGGAACGGTCACGATGTTCAGCCCCAGCCCCACCCCAGGGGACGAACTCCTATCCCGGGGCGGGGGGGGGGGCACCGGGCGATGCCCTGGTCTCTGCTAACATGTTCTCTCTGGTTTCCCCCCGCGCCCGCCCCGCAGAGCGCCGGGTTATGGTGGCACCGGGCTGAGCGCCGGGACGCAGCGAGGCGGCAGCGGGGGCCGAGCCCGAGGCCATGGAGGGGCCCGGCCAGGTAGGGACCCCCGGCCCCCCGCCCCGGCTCTGCTGCTGCGCCCCGGCACAGCCCCGGCGAGGCGTTGAGGGTACCAGACCCCGCTGACCCCCTTCTCTCTGTCCCACAGGAGGCCTACGAGGAGGGGATGAGGAGGACCCTCGACCCCGAGGGCTACGAGGACCCCGGCCTAAAGGACTCCCGCCTGTCGCTGGGGGAGATGAGCAGTGAGTGGCTCCTGGGGTGCTGGGGGACACTGGCACGGGGGGGGGGCACCAGCGCTGCAAGGGGGGGCCATTGCATGGGCACTGGTGTGTCACACGGGCATTGGCGTGGCAGGGGTCACACCTCACTGCGTGGGTGACAGTGGCATTGCACAGGTGGCAGCGTTGCGTGGACGAGGGCACTGCACGGGCACCGGCACCGGCTGGGTGCCAGCCCTGCGGGGGCACCAGCGGCTCGAGGTCTCATGTTGTGTGGGCACCGGAGTTCTGTGGGTGCCAGCTGGGCACGGGCACCAGCACGGCACCGGTGTGTTGCACGGGCACCAGCACTGCCTGGGCAGGAGTGTTTCACGGGGGCCAGCGTGGCGTGGGCACACGGGGGGGATCAGCAGCATGTTGCACGGGTGCCAGCGTGGCACAGGTATGTTGCATGGGCACAGCATGGCACTGGCGTGTTGCACGGGCACAGCATGGCACAGGCATGTTCCATGGGTGCTAGAATGGCACAGGTATGTTGTGCGGGCACAGCATGGCACAGACGTGTTGCATGGGCACAGCATTGCATGGGCAGAAGCACTGCACGGGCACAGCACGGCACGGGCGTGTTGCATGGATGTGTTTCCCGGGTGCCAGCATGGCACCGGTAGCGGGGCTCGCTCAGTGAGGGGTCAGGCAGGGACACCCACCCTCAGGGGTGGCATCCCCCAAAGGCAGCGACACCCTTTGCCAAAGCCCCCGTGCCGTGAGGTGCCACCTCCAGCGCCAGGGCTGTGGGCACCTGAACTGAGGCTGTCCTTGGGGACACCTGAGGTCCTTGACCCCTGGGGAGGGAGGTCTGAGTGCCCCGGAGCGTCCCTTTGCTCCAAGCTCGGTTGTTCCAGAGCTGCCACCCCGAGGGGGTGTTTGGGCTCGGCTTCCCCGTTGTGGTGACACAGGTCGGGGGGTAACACTGCCACCTGTTCTGCGCAGGGGCCGGCGGTGGCATCGGGTCCCCCCTGCAGGCGTGGAGGGCCAGAGCCGAGGAGCTGACGCCCCTGCGGTGAGTCCCCAAATCGCGGCCGGACGCTGCCCTGCCCGCCCGGCTGGCATCCCCCGGGGGGAGGCCGGTGGCACCCGCGGTGCTCGGCGCTGACCCCGCCGTGCCGGCGGTGTGTGTTTTGCAGCCAGTATCTGCCCGGCCGCCGGGGATGTTATGACCTGCAAGGGAAGAGGCGCTCGGCCGGGGCCCCCCCGGGACAGTCCCCGCGCCGTGGCGGAGGGCAGCGTGAGTGACTGCAGGGTCCCCGGGGGACGAAGCCCAGCCCCGGCTGTTTCCCCCCACCACAACCCCCAGCCCTCCATCGCGCCGTCTTGCCTCGGTTCTGCCACCCACCCCTGTCCTCGCCCTGCGCGCGGGGTGACCGTCACCCGGGCGTCAGGGCACGCCGCGGGGTGACCGCTGCCACTTGCCCATAATCGCCCACTGATTGAGGATAAATAAAGTCTTTGTTTGGGGTGAGGACAAGAACCACTTGGGGCCGAACGCCGGCTGGCGCCGGGCGGCTCGGTGGCGGCGGCGGCGGGCAGGGACGAGGACACGCTCGTGCCCGTGTGTCACGGCCAACGCTGCCGGGGACACGGTGGCAAGGGACGCGCCCCATCCCCGCTCCCGTGGGCGCAGCATCCTTCCTCCGGCAGAGCGGGATGCGGATCTTACAGCAGCATCCCCCCCCCGGGGTGACCCGGCTGGGGACAGCGAGGGGACCGCCGTGGTCCCCGCCGAGGGCGGAGGGGGACGGGGTGAGCCTGTCCCCACGGTGGGGTGGCAGCGGGCGGGCGGGAGCCGCGCTAGTGTTTACTGTCAGCAAAGGAAGTGCTGCGGGATTTACGGTGCACACAGGGCGGCTGCGGGGATCGCTCCCCACTTTATAGGGACAGAGCTGCGGGGACATGGGGAGCGCAGGGGCGCCCGCAGGTAGGCAGGGGGTGGGCACAGGGATACCTCGAGCTCCTGGGGTCTGGCTGGCCGGGGATGTGCTGTCCCCGTGTCCCCATCCCAGTGGTGGTGCTCGGTGCTGGGTGCCGGTGTTGTGTCGGTGGCAGGGTGGTGGCCACGAGCCCTGTCCTCATCCTGGCCCCGGTGATGTCCCCAGACTGTCCCCCTGCCCCAGGGGCTGGGCTGCAGGGATGTGAGGGGACCAAAGGCACCGCCAGGGCAAGGGGTGATGGAAGGTCTGGGATGGGGCAACGGGGGGCCACGTCCAGTGAGTTCCCGGCAGGGCTGGGGTGTGACGGAAAAGGGGACACATCCAAGTGACCCCAATGGGTCTGGGACGGGGGTGATTGAGAAGGGGACACTTCCAGGTGACCCTAGATGGGTGTGGGATGGAGGTGGTGGGGGGAGGCACCCTCAGCAGACCCCAGGGAGAGGGTCTGGGCTGGGACAGGGACCAGCTAACACTTTGGTGGCTCCACTTGCAGCTGAGTCGGTGACCGATGTGGACCCGGAGGCGTCGGGGAGCAGGAGGCTCCTGTCCCAGCGGGACACCCATGAGGTGGGTGCTGTCGCAGGGACCCCCATTCCCGAGGGTGTGTGGCCTGTGGCCACTTGGAGACCAATCTGGGAACACCAGGACATGGGGAGAGGAGACACTGGGTGCCCTGGGGGTCCCTGATGTGGCCATGGGGACCCTGACCCCCCCTATCTCTGGCTGCAGGGCTACGTGGAGCTCCACGAGCTGGTCATGGACAGCTCGAAGGACTTGTGCTGGATGGAGGCCGGTCACTGGCTCAAGCTGGAGGAGGATTTCCAGGAATCAGGGCAGTGGAGCCAGCCCCACCTCTCCTTCCTGACCTACCGCAACCTCCTGGAGATCCGACGGGCTTTGAACAAAGGTGGGGACACCCCTGGGGACCGCCTGGATGGCGGTGGGGACCCCACACCGGCCGGGTGGTGACAGTGCTGTCCCCACAGGTGCCATTCTCCTCGATGTGGCGGCCAACTCGATGGCGGCCATCGTCAACATCCTCATTGACCAGATGATCTACGAGGGGCAGTGGAAGCCGCAGGACCGGGAGGACATCCTGAGGACGCTGCTCCTGAGGCACAGGTATGGCCAGGGCTGCTGCTCCCAGGGGATCCTTGAGGTCTGGGCTGGACCCCCCCCAGTGGGTCCCACTGGAGTCTTAATCAGGGTGGGAAAGCTTTGTTCTCCCGCCCTGTTCGGCTGTCCCAGCACACCCACAGTGCTGAGGCTGCCTTATGGGGGTCTGGGGGGGGGTTATGGCACTGGGGGGTCTGACACCACCCCCCCCTTGATGCTCTCAGCCACCCCAGCGAGGGTGAGTCGGTGTGGACGCTGCCGCCGGCGCTGCTGCAGCGCTCGGGCACCCGCCGGGACGATGTGGAGCAGCCGCTGATGAGGGAACAGCAGCCCATGGAGATGAGCAAGCTGGCAGGGACTGAGCAGGTACCGGGGGCACTGGGGGGCACTGGGGGGGCGGGCTGGGGGTAGGAGATGCACACAGGGTGTAGACACACACACAGGTGAACACACCAGTTGCACACTCACACATGCTTGTGCAGAGAGGGACACGCAGGGAATGGTGGGGGACACTTATGGGGGACAGAGAAGGAGACTCAGGGAGTGGTGGGGGACAGGCAGGAGATGGAGAGGGACATTCAGGGGACAGAGGGAGAGACATGGGACAGAGGGGAACGTGTGGGGGATAGTGGGTGACACGCAGGGGACAGAGAGGAACACACCAGAGGGAGACATGCAAGGGGGCACAGAGGACCACAGGGACAGCCACCAAGGCTGGCTGGCTAATTCCTCCCATCCATCTGCCTGCAATAGAGTGGGGCCTCCAAACCCCAACTCCCAGAGAAGATCCCCGAGGATGCTGAGGCCACCCTGGTCCTTGTGGGTGAGTGGTCAGCGGGGTGGCAGGTGCTGGGTTGGGTCGGGAGGGTGGGTGCAGGCTGAGGGGGTGGGCACAGGGTCAGGGGGTGCAGGGGGAGCTTTGCCATCTGCCCCTCGCTGTGCTCGCTCACGCCCTGCCTTTCTTGTGCCTTTTTTGCCTCTCCCCATCCTCAGCTCTCGCCGCCGCCTGCTGCTGCTCAGCGCTGCTCTCTGGGTCTCTGTCCCCATGTCCCCTAATTCCCCTGTGTCCCTGTGCTCCCATGCCCACCAATCTGTGTGTCCCTGTGCTCCTGTGCCCTGATGTCCCTGTTCTCCCATGCCCATCTATCCCGTGTCCCCATGTCCCTGTATCCCCATGCCTCATTGTCCTCATGTCTTTGTGCCCCCATCCCACTCTCCTTGTCCCCCCACACCCCCAAGCCTATAATGTCACCTTGTCTCCATTCCCTGATGTCCCCATGTTTCGGTGTCCTGCTGTCTCTGTGCTCCCATGTCCCCATGTCCCTGTCCCCTGTGTCTCTGTGCCCGGTCCCCCATGACCCCCATCCCATCCCATCCCATCCTGCCCCCAGGCTGTGCAGCCTTCCTGGAGCAGCCAACGCTGGCCTTGGTGCGCCTGAAGGACGCGGTGACACTGGACGGTGTCCTCGACGTGTCCCTCCCCGTCCGCTTCCTCGTGGTGGTGCTGGGCCCCGACAGCCACAACATCAGCTACCACGAGATCGGCCGTGCCATCGCCACCATGATGTCAGAGAGGGTACGGCTCACCCACCACTGCCACTGTCACCCCCAGTGCCACCGTCCCTGTCGCTGCCACCGCCATCAGCCCCCCTGAGCACCCCGGAGTCCCCACCCCTGGGGCTGCACCCTCTAACAGGGCTCGTCTCCCTGTGCCATTTCTTTCTCTGATCCCTATGTCCCCCTGCCACCATGTCCCCTTGTCCCCATGCACCTGTGTCCCCATGTCCCCGAGGCCAAAGCGTCCCTTTGTCACCACGTGTCCGAGCAAACACGTCCCCCGTGCCCAAGCCCCTGCCCCCCATCTCCCACCTTATCCCTATGTCCCCGTGCCCCTGTGGTCCCATGCCTGTTGTCCCCCTATCCCCAGGGTGTCCCCAGGACACCCCATCCCCACGGGGACGCTCAGGGGTGCCAGAGCCGGTGCCAGAGCACCCACCCCTGGGCGATCCCACAGGTGTTTCGCCGGGATGCCTACCTGGCCGAGGGCCGGCAGGACCTGGTGCGGGCGGTGGACGAATTCCTGGAGGCCAGCATTGTCCTGCCTCCCACCGAGACCCCCAGCGAGCAGCTGCTCCGCGCCCTGGTCCCTCTGCAGCGCGAGCTCCTCCGCCGCCGCTACCAGCCCCCCGAGAAACCGCCCAGCGAGGGCTTCCTGAAAGACCTGGGTATGGCAGAGACCACCTGGACATCCTCCCCCCACCCCCCCAAAATTCCCTGTCCCCGTGGTGGGTGGGACACCCCCCCTTGTACACAGGGTGTCCCCATGGTCACCTGTTGTGTCCCCAGGGCTGGGCGCGCCAGCGCAGGAGGACGACGACCCCCTGCGCAGGACAGGGCGGCCCTTTGGGGGGCTGGTGAGGGACATCTGCCGCCGGTACCCCAAATACCTCAGCGACATCAAGGATGCCCTCAGCCCCCAGTGCCTGGCCGCTGTCATCTTCATCTACTTCGCGGCGCTGTCACCTGCTGTCACCTTCGGAGGCTTGCTGGGTAATGGGGGGGGGGGACAGGAAGGGGACACGCCAGGGGAGGGGGATGTTCCCCAAGGGGCCTCCGCCTTCTTCATCACCATCCCATGGGGATGCTCCCAGGGGGTTATGCACCCCCTAATCCTGGTGCCCAGGGACTGGGGGGCACAGTGCTGTGCCCCCCACCCTGGCACTCACCCGCCCTGCTCCCTTTCAGGCGAGAAGACCAAGGGCATGATGGGGGTGTCGGAGCTGCTCATCTCCACCTGCGTGCAGTGTGTGCTCTTCAGCCTCCTCAGTGCCCAGCCCCTCCTGGTTGTTGGATTCTCAGGACCCCTCCTCGTCTTCGAGGAAGCCTTTTATGGGGTGGGTACCCCCTCCCCGGTGCCCATGGGTGCCCCCTGCCCACCACAGTGGGGTTAGGGTCTCCCCACCAGCCCTGGGAGAGGCACAGGGTGCTGCTGTGGGGGGGATGGCACAGCGGGGATGGCAGGGTGAGTGGCACAGGGAGGATGTCACGAGGGGATGTCCTGGGGGTTGGCACAGGGGGGGTGCCGTGTGCCACACTGAGATACCACCACTCCTGTCCTGGAGAAGGATGTGTGGGGCCACTGCGGGATGCCAAGGTCCAGCCCACCTGGGTGCCCATGCTGGGGGGCTCTGGGGGGGCCTGACAGGGCTGTGCCCTCTGGCTCCCCAGTTCTGCAGCAGCAATGGCTTGGAATACATCGTGGGCCGGGTCTGGATTGGCTTCTGGATGATCCTGCTGGTGCTGGTGGTGGTGGCCTTCGAGGGCAGTTTCCTGGTGCGCTTCCTGTCCCGCTACACCCAGGAGATCTTCTCCTTCCTCATCTCCCTCATTTTCATCTTTGAGACCTTCTCCAAGCTTGTCACGGTGAGGGGCTTGGGGGTCCCACAGTGGGGAAGGGGTGGGGGAGCGGGTGCAGACTGTGATTATCACCTGGGTTTCCATAGAAACAGTGGGATGCAGGGATGGAGCCCATCTCCTGGTGTTTTCTCATGAGGTCCCTTCCAACCCTGACTATTCATTCTGTGGTTGATGCTCCTCTCCACAGGGGGATTTTGGGGCGGGGAGGTGAACCTCACATAGATGTTCCACCCCCTCGCCCTGGCACACATCCTGCACCCATCAGGATGCTCCTGCAGGGCTCCCAGCATGGCAGGAGGGGTGCAGGGGGATCCCCCATCCCCATCCTCACCCACACCCTCCCCTTCCCTCCCCAGATCTTCAAGCAACACCCGCTGAAGCGGGAGTACAACGTGAAGGCTGACTTTGACCCCTCGGAGCCGGAGCCCAACACGGCCCTGCTGTCCCTCATCCTCATGGCCGGCACCTTCTTCCTGGCCTTCTTCCTGCGCAAGTTCAAGAACAGCGCCTTCCTGCCTGGCAAGGTGTGGTGTCCCCCCCTCCCCGCTGCAAAACGGGGGCCTCGGTGGCTGAGACCGGGCAAACTCATTGCATGTTCCCGAGAACTGAATGTGGTCGCCGTGTCCCCACAGGTCCGGCGCTTGATCGGGGACTTCGGGGTGCCCATTTCCATCTTCATCATGGCCCTGGCTGACTTCTTCATCAAGGACACGTACACGCAGGTTCCGTGAGGGCAGGGCTGGAGGGGGGACACAGGTGTCCCCAGCACGGGGACGTGGAGCTGGGTGCTCATCCCTGTGTCCCATCCCCTCACTCCCCGCTTTGCTCCCATCCAGAAACTGAGCGTCCCTAAAGGGCTGGAGGTCACCAACTCGTCCGCCCGGGGCTGGTTTATCAACCCCATGGGGCTGCGAGAGGAATTCCCCATCTGGATGATGTTCGCCTCCGTGGTGCCCGCCCTCCTGGTCTTCATCCTCATCTTCCTCGAGACGCAGATCACCACGTGAGGACGGGGGGGGACACGGGGAGGGGAGGGCTGTGGGGTGCCCGGTGGCACGGGCACGGAGGGGACCTCCCTGGGGTGCTGTGTCACCAGCTTGCCCCCCTGTGTCCCCGCAGCCTCATCGTCAGCAAGCCCGAGAGGAAGCTGGTGAAGGGCAGCGGCTTCCACCTGGACCTGCTGCTGATCGTGGCCATGGGGGGGCTGGCGGCCCTTTTTGGGATGCCCTGGCTCAGTGCCACCACCGTCCGCACCATCACCCACGCCAACGCCCTCACCGTCATGAGCAAGGCGTCCTCTCCCGGGGAGAAATCCCAGATCCTGGAGGTCAAGGAGCAGCGCATCAGCAGCTTGCTGGTGGCCGTGCTCATCGGTGAGCTGGGGACGTGCCCTCCCTGCATGGGAGGTGAGGGTTGGGGGTCCCCCAGGAGCTCTCCCCAACCTCTCCTTCTGCACCGCAGGCGTGTCCATCCTCATGGAGCCCATCCTGAAGTACATCCCACTGGCTGTGCTCTTCGGCATCTTCCTCTACATGGGGGTCACCTCCCTCTTCGGCATCCAGCTCTTCGACCGCATCCTGCTCCTGCTGATGCCCCCCAAGTACCACCCTGACGAGCCCTATGTCACCAGGGTGAGCGAACCCTGTGTCATCCCGATGGGTGGCTGTGGGTTTGGGGGCTGCAGCACCCCTGAAATTGCTTGAGGTTCCCCAAAGAGCCTCCTCCTTCAGTGCTGACCTTCCCTGGGCTCCTGCTCCCACAGGTGAAGACTTGGCGGATGCACCTCTTCACCTTCACCCAGATCATCGTGCTCGTGCTGCTGTGGGTGGTGAAGTCCACCCCGGCCTCGCTGGCGCTGCCCTTTGTCCTCATCCTCACCGTGCCCCTGCGGCGCTTCCTGCTCCCCAAGATCTTCCGGGATATTGAGCTCAAATGTGTACGTAGCCCCAGCACCTGCTGGGAGCCACTGCTGTGCTGTCCCTGTCCCTGTGCTGGTCCCGGTGTCCATTCCCATCCCTGTCCCCATCCTCATCTCTATGTGTATCCCCATCACTGTCTCCAGCCCCATCTTTGTCTCTGCTCATGTCCCTGTCCTCATCCTACCCCTTTCCCATTCCTGTCTCCATCCCCATCTGTGTACCCACCCTCACCCCTGTCTCCATCCCTGTCCCCATCTGCATCCCTCATTCCCACCTCTGTCCCCATCCTCACCCTGTCCTTGCCCCATTCCTCTCCCTCCCACCTCGTTCTCCATCCTCATCACCGTCCCTGTCCTCAATCCCGACCCCTCCTTGTCCCCATCATTTTCTCCAATCCTGTCCCCATCCCCATTGTTATCTCCACACATATCCCCATCCCTAGCCCTGTCTCCTTCCTTATCTTCATCCCTATCCTCATACCCTGTCCCTGTCCCCATCCCTGTCCCCATCCCTGTGCCCCTGACTCCCTCTCCTCTCTCCAGCTGGACGCAGATGACGCCGTGGTGACCTTCGAGGAGGAGCAGGGAACGGACGTGTACAACGAGGTGCAGATGCCCAGTTAAGGGCCGGGCCCCCCCGGCCCCCCAACGACCCCCCCAGCCCCCCCACCCGCTTATATCACCATTGCTGCCACCCCGGGGCTGCTGGGTGACGGAGGAGGATTTGGGGACGCTGTCCCCATCTGCACACCCTGGGAATGGAATTTATTTTTTTAGTTGTTTTTTTTTCCCTTTTTTTTTTTTTTTTTTTTTGGCTATTTAAAAAAAAAAAAAAATTTTGGATGGTGTGATCTCACCCCCACTCTGCTGCCCGCTGGGGAAGGGGCTGCCTGGGGTTGGGGGGGGGGTTCCACGAGCCACCCTCACCCCGTGGCAAGGTGGGATGTGTCACCATCCCGTCCCCAAGGCCACCACCGGGCACTGAGCATGGGAAGGAGCTGGAGGAAGACGTCAGAGACCGGAGGGAGGAGGAAGGCAGGGATGGAGACACAGCAGGACGGGGTCCCCCTCATTACTCCCAGCCCTTGGGGACCCCCCCAGCCTGGCCCCTCCTCCCCAGATGAACATTCAGCCAGCTGGGACAGACCCTTCACCCCACGGAGCCCTTCTCCCATTTTCTCCATCGTTTGCTCCAGTGGGATCCTCCCAGCTGCTCCGCTGCGCTTCCAGCACCTCCCAGAGTTGGGATGTAAATAGTCCAGTGAGGGAGTTTATATATTTAGAATGAAAATAATCATGCTAAAAATAGCCCCCCCAAAAAAATTACTTATAATTACGCTGATGCTTCTGCAGGTAGAATTCACTCAAGAGCCAAGTAAAAATTCCCAAAAAAAGGATGAAAAAGCACCTTAAAAATGAAAAAAAATTGAGGAAAAATAGGAAAAAAAAAAAAAGCAGCTACAAGGAGTGATCTGTATATTTGATGCTACTGGGGGGGGGTTGTAATTTATTTTTAGGGCTGGTTGTGCCCCTGCTGCAGCGGGGCCGTGTGTGTGTGTGTGTATATACTAGAGAATTATATCAAAATTCAGAATTTTCTATAAAAGATGATTTTTAAGGATCCTGGTCAGGGCCTAAACTCTAAGGACCAGTCTGTCAGTCTCACTCCATTCATGAATTAGTGTTAGTTAGTTAGTTAATTAGTCTTCTCTATTTTTATAGCATTCCGGGTAAATCCGTGTAGTTTTTCCTTGATTTTTCCCTTGCTTGCTGACCATGTCTTGCCCTGTTTCCGCTGGGATTGCTCCCAGTCCAGCTGAGCATCCCCCTGATCCTGCCAAGCCTCATTCTGCCCTGGTGACCCTCAAGGATTGGATCCAGCCAGGGCACAGAACACTGGATCAGGCTCCAAATTTGCTCATTTTTGGCCCCAAAATCAGTGGGGGGTGGGGGTGGGTGGCCCCACCCGGGGTCCTGTGTTTGGGGTTGGTTTAGTTTTATGAATTATGTGTCTGAAATGAAAAAAAAAATGTTTTGATCTTTGGGGTTTCCTCCTTCCCTTCCCCCCACCTCTGTATCAGGCTTTAATAAAGAAATTAATAAAATCAGAAAGGAAATGGGGGTTTTCTTTCCAGTTGGGAATTTTTCTGGTGCGTTGTCTTGTTTAATTCCCCTCCCCAAAAAGGAGTAGTAGCAGCCTTTGGAGCTCTCCATCCCCCTGGAATGGGCAGTGCAGTTGTACTAAGATGCTTGTCACGGCATCCCAGGATGCTCCCTGTATCCTGGAATATATCCCAGCCATTCTGGGATGCTCCCCACAGTCATCCTGCGTTGCTCACTGTAACCATCCCAGGATGTCAGGGAATCCAAGAGATTCCTGTGGCCATTCTGGGGGTGCTCAGCCCCCCTCATCCCCCTGCACCCCGGGGTGCTGCCCCACTGCCACATGGCCTTGGCTGTCCCCGCTCCAGGGGGATTGGGAACATCTTGATCTGGGGCTGCTGGCCCAGGGTGCAGAGCAGCCCCTGCCCCTCCCCCAGCCCCTGGCACCAGATTGACCCCGATTATCCATAATCCCATTAACCAACAGGGGAACACCCGGCTCTCTGTGAGCGGGGGCCGTGGGAAGGGCTGTGCCCGTTCGCCCCCAGCCTTCCCCTGGGGCAGGAATTGGGATCAGCATCCACGATTGCTCCCAACCGGGACCTCAAAATCTTTCCATGGGGCTGGGATAAACCCCCAGCGTGGCCACCAGCTTTTCCCAAGCCTGCCATAGCTGCTATCCCAGTTTTCCAGAGATGGAGGCGCACGGCTGGTGTTTTCCAGCCCAAGGCCTGTGGATCCAGCAGCTTCCCTTCCTTGTGCCGGCCTCACATGGACAAGACACACCAGGTGCCATCCAGAGGCCTTCCCTGCCTCCAAACCCCAGTGATGGAGGATGGCATCTGCCTGCACCCATCCCTCTTGTTTTCCACCCTGGGAAGAGTTTGTTATTCCCTGGGAGATGGCAGCGAGGTCACGGCCGCGGGATCCAGCCCGGTTTGGGGTTGGGAATTTAGGTCAAGCTCTTCTTTGAACTTGCCTCAGCCTAGGGAAATGGAGGGAGGGGGAATTAGGGGTGGGAGTAGAGTAATGAGGGGGAAATAAATGCTAATTAATTGGTAGCTAATGAGGAGGGGGGAGCATGGAGCTCCAGAGGGGGATCACACTGGAGCATCACCCCTGGAAGGGGAGAGCCACAGTGCCTGCAGCATCACAGAGTACTCCACGCCATCCATGGACAGGGGACATGGGATACCCTGGGATTTTCTGGAGGTGTCCAGTGGGATATTGTCACTGTTTGTGCACAGATTTGGGGGGTCCCCACTCCCAGCCCACCTGCTGCAGGGTCTGTGGTTTATTCCCAGGGTTCCGGTGTCCCTTCCCAGTGACAAAAGCCACTGGGGGGGATCAGGCCTGGAGCACATTGACACTCCAAAAATGGCTTTTTGCTTAAAAAAAAAAGGAAAAAAAAAGAAAAAAAGAGGTTTAAAAATTTAAAATGTCAAATTTCATGTTTTTGGCCCGATTGCTTCTAAATGTTTTGTTTGTTTACATTGTTTTTTCCTTTTGTGATTTTACCCGCCTGCAAAGCAGTGGCAATTCCCACAATTCGGGGATCCAGCCCAGCCCAGGCCGAATAAATACATATATTTTTATTTTTAAGCTCTCGCAGGAGGGATTAACTGCCCGGCGCTGGAGCTGCCCGGCCTGGCTTGGCACAGCCCAGAGAGCAGGACGTGGCAGAGGATCCGGCTGTCCGGCTGTCCCTCCGTCTGGCTGATCCCTTCCCTTCGGGATAAAGCCCAAATAAGCCACTTGCACAGCCAGGCACCACCCCCGCACCCCCAATTCATCTGGAGGAGGGGTGGCCCAACTGCATGCAGATTTAGGGATTATTTTTTTCTTTTTCCTTATTAAGGGTGAAAATCCCCTAGATGTTGGCCGTTCCCGTGGCAGGGAGACGCCTGTAGCCCACAAAGCCGTGTGGCCCCACATTCCCAGAACATCCCGCATCCCTTTTGGGGGGGGGGGGGGGGGTCCCCGCCAGCTCCCGCTGCCTCGTGGCAGGTGCCGGCCGGAGCTTGCCTGTGCCAGCCTGGCTTGGGAGCAGGGAAATGGCCGGAGCTCTGGGAGCACGCCGCCCTTGGAGCGGCGGGCAGATGGCCGGAGCTCGCCGGTAGCCGGGAATGTGCCGCCAGCCGGGAACGGCCGCGGCGGGCGGGCGGGCGGCCTGTGGTCGTAGCACAGTCAGCCCCGGCTGGCCAGTGCCTTGGGGCAGGCAGGGCGGTCGGTACCGCGGCTGCAGCCCCGGTACCGGGGATGTTTGGGGCGGTCGGTATCGCACAGGCAAGCCGGGGTGGCTGATACCACGGAGGCAGCTGGTGCCGTGGAAGCAGCCGGTACCGTGGGGGTGTTCGGTACTGTGGGGGTGTTCGGTACCGCGGCAGCAGCCGGACAGGCCAGGACTGCCGGGGTGGCCGCCACCGTGGAGGCAGCCGGGACCGCGGAAGCAGCCGCGGTGACATGGAGGCAGGCGGTGCCCTGGCGGTGGCCGGGGGTGATCGGCACCGTGGAAGTGGAGGCAGCCGGGGAGGCAGCCCGGGGTACCCGGAGCCGTGGGGGTAGCGTTCGGTAGCGTGGCGGCGGCCGGTGGCACGGAAGCAGCCCGGGATGGCCCGTACTGTGCAAGGCAGCCGGGATGGCCGGGAATGTGCAGGCGCTGCCCGGCCGGGATTGGCTGCGGGGAATGACGCCCAGCACAACAAAGGTGGAGTTGGAGAAATTCCATTAAAAAAAATTAAGAGAGAGAGAGAGGGAAGGGAAGGGAGAGAGGAGAGAAAGGGAGCGGAGGGAGGGAGGAGGGGAGGAAGCTGCCCCTCGCCCGCCCCGCCGGGCAGAGCCCCCCCCGCCGCCGTGTCCCGGGGCCGCGGGGCGGGCAGGAGCGCGGCCCCGCCGTGCCGTGGGGGC